GCAGTCAATCGATTTCATGTACAGTCGGTTTTATTGAATACGCAGTCAATCGATTTCCATGTACAATCGGTTTTATTGAACACGCAGTGAATCGATTTCCATGTACAATCTTCATTGAACACGCAGTCAATCGATTTCTTACGGTTACTAATTCAATTCGAGGGGTTAGGGCTCTGATACCAATTGAAAGGTATGAATTATGTATCGCAATTAACAGATATGATCAATATATCATATACTTAACCCTAGAATTGAATCAAGTATCTAATTAGAGAAGAAAAACTTTGTGCATACCTTGAATCCTTGAAGAAGATGCAGCCCTGTTGTAATTTCTTCTTGTTCCATTCTTTATAAGATCCACTTCTTATATCTATCCCATGATGGATGTGGTTTCAAAAGATGTTTAGTGTTCTTGATAGAGAGGAATAATGTTGGCGCCCAAAAAGGTTTATATAACCTATCTCTCAAATCATAGGATCTGAAGCAACGGTCTTTCCATCAAAGAACCGAAATTAACCGTCACCAAATAAATGCTTTTGGTTTTATACGGTACCCTCTATTTATATGTTTAGTATTTAACTAATGTAACAGTATTATATCAAATGTGAATCATATAATTGTTGACTCACAATTATCTTGTTCTCAACTGTGATATATATATATATATATATATATATATATATATATATATATATATATATTACAAGAAGACCAAATCGAGAATCAGGTTCAAGTTGCAGAGGATATTTTAATTTTTGAACATGCCGGGTAAACAAACGGATGGTTTTTATTTGGCTATTTTAGATTGTGTTTAGTACTGGAAGTTGCATTTGAATATTTGTTTCAACATGGTTTCAATGGAGAAGAATTTTATGAGATTGCTAGGAAATGTCAACCGATGCTTTGAATCATATTAATTATTTGCATCTTACATGTTTAGTCTATTTGAACAGATGCTTTGAATTAGTGAATTCAATGGATTTGATGACTAAATGTGTTTTCAAGCATCCAACACTTAAATTGCATGGTGAAGGAACTTCTACAGAAAGAACGAGTGAATTTTCAAGGAAAAGAAGGGAGGAAAACAGACAAAATGTGAGTCAATTTTAGTATTTATTTGTTTGGTTTTGTTTAAAGCAATTAGTTATAATGTAGACCAGGAACACCATATTCAGTTTGTGATGCAGCAACGGATTGAGAAGAGGTTGGAAATATTGTATGGTTGACATTCTTTAGTAGACATGCTTAGAGTGTAGTGGTTAAATAGTATATATTAAGAATTTGAAAACCATGTTTGGCAAGCATCAATGAAGGACCCTTTTCCTTATGAATAATGCTTTTGTATTGTTTTAGCATTGTACAATGTTAATTTAAATGTTATACTCGTATAAGCTTTAAAAAATAATTTTACGAGATCAGAACATTTGGGTGTTAAATTGGTGGCTTTTGTATGCTTGGATCCATGGCCATTTCTGCCATATTACTTTTATATTTCAGTTTTTGTTTTGTATTCAACAGATGCTACTTTGCCACGATAAATCTTTTTGTTCTTATACTGATCAACGGATAATGATGAATAGGGTGCAGCGGATTTTTCCTACCAGGTACTGTTTTGGAGTTATTCTAGATCATCATAAATCAAATGTTGGTAACCTTCTTTGGCTGTTGCATCTGGTTTCACTTACGGGCCTGGTTGGTTCAATTGGAGTTTCATGGGCACTTCTTCAATTTTTTGTTGTTGGTTTCTTTGTCAATGTAGAGGGTGAGTTATTGTCCTTGGAATAGCAAATGGGGTAGATTGTATAATGGAGGGATAAGCCAAGTGGAAGTGAGATTTTTTTGGGAAAGGCATATGCAAACAGTAGTTATCATGCTTTTTGGCTTTGCGGCTTCATTCCTTCACCTCTATCCCTCTCTCTCTCTCTCTTTCCACCATGACCCTCTCTCCATCGTCAGGTTACCCTCTCGTACTGGTTCTCCCTTTCTGTCACCAATCAAGTTAGTGTATCTCATCTCTCGCTTTCTTCGTCTCTCAATTTTGGTCCAACTACAAGCTAGGTTTTTTTAGTACCCGCTCTTGTCTGCAGCTTAGACATCACTCACAAAAGAGGTTGAATAATTTGATTATACTTTGTTTGAATTCCTAATCTTTAGTTTATGTGGGTTGAGGAAGGATCAGACGGAGAGGGAATTGGATGAGGATAGCCAAGTTAAATGTGACATTTTTTACCATAACTAGACAGGTTGCAAGCATAATGTCATGTTATAGAATTGTTTTGTTATTTCAGGTGAGCTTCATTCTTACCATCTTCAGGATAATAGGAGGACTTGGACGATAATAAGGTATCTTATATRATGTGTTTGTTGTRAAGTTACTTTCKTGTAATTTTATCTTGATCTACTTATGAGTGATTTTTAACCAAAATTTTCTTGTCATTTATTGTTTATTTTCACTATCATGATGCATCTCTATAATATGGTCTTAGGAATGCAAAAATTATTTCGTGGTTAAAGAATGGATGCAAAAATTATGGTCTTAGGGTCGTATACCAAACGCTTACCAAGTAAGTAATCCACCAAGAGTCACCATTCTAACTTACCTTTACCGGGTAACAATCCTTGCCATCAAAATAGATTGATGGTAAACGTTTATGACTAGGTAACAATCATCACCTTCACTTACTGGATTCTCGGTTCTTATTGAACCGATAAGTACTTACCAAGGTAAGTTTTAAGGAAACGCTCCCTTAGTCAAATTAATGGTGCTATTATAACTCACTATATGGGTAAAGCTTCAAAATCTGCTATTTTATTAGATCTTAAAGCATTGCTTATGTGTTGACAGAAATGGCATTTACGAAGTTAGTTATTTTTGCAGATTCATGGAGGCCTAAGGATTGTGATCGGAAAAGGGGTGAAAAGGCCAAGGGAGCATTGACCTGCCGACTACAATTCTATCTCTCGTTGAGTTAGCCAATTCTTTATAAAGGTATCATATTATCTAACAGTGTCAACTAACAGTATTCGTTAGGGAGCAAACAAACTGAAGTTATATTCCATCACTATTTATTCTACATTGACACAACTCAGTATATTTCAAAGATTGTAGTACAGTAACTCATACCGGACGAGGAATTATTAGCATGGGAAATGCATGTCTCAATACTAATGGAAGTCAAATCTTCATATGCATATTCAATATACGCTTGTTTTTGGTTATTCAATACTCCATCTGTTCCAAAATAGATGTTCATATTTCCTTTTTAGCTTGTCCCAAAAATAGGTGTTTACATTTGTTGATCTTTAATGGCAAATCTTCTGTGGGGTTTCTGGTTACTGTTATCTTGATCTTTACATGTGCTTTGGGGACTGTTTGCAGTCTGTCTGCTGTGCTAATCCTGTTTTCACATGGGTGTATGTGTTTTTGATCTCCCACTTCATTTGGTCTGAATTTGGAGCTACAATTTGGTGGTTGATCAATGATCCTACCTTATTGTTTGTCTCTGTTCCATGCTATTTTGTCAAGATAGTGCATTGGTTGTTGACCACTGATCCAACCAATGTATTCATTTATATGGAACTTTCTTTCTATTTGGGGATTGCACTCCGATGTTTTTACTATGTGAATATATAAGGTGGATTTTTCTGTCTCATGATCTGTTTTCATGGTTTCAATTAAATCACTATATTAGTCCACTGTTTGGGAGTTATAAGGATGGTTGGAGTGGTATATCTGGTATACACTGAACCAGAATTGGATGCACAATAGTGGCTTTTTTCCAAAGTGATATGGCTTGGATTTCTGTTTTGAGGAAATTCTGGTTAACATTTGGTTTGGGTGGTAATGTGGATAACTTGGAATGAAGAAGGAGATTCCAATGCTACGGTTCCTGCAAAGAAAACTATTTTTATGTAGATTTTTATGTGAACAACTGATGCAGCCAACCAGCTATCCTATGCTGCATCAAGGAAAATCTCTTATTGCAAAAAGCCCTTATATAAAAATGGATTTTTTTTCAGCAATGGCCATTGATAAAAGATGATGTTTGAAATCCTAATACTTGGATTCCAATTAACAGTAATAGATTTTGGAGAAGAAGTCGATCCCAATGCTCGACTGAGTTTGAATCGCCATTTTATCATCAATTGAAGCTATCTGATTTTGAAACAGCTGTGCCCACCATTGAAAAGATCCAAGTTGGTCGCTTTCTTCAATGGTATGGCTGGATTCTCATTCAATCTGGTGGCTTGTTCGATTCCATGGTTGGTGATGGCTGTCGGATTGAAACCCTAGATACAGATGTGAGTTTGCTTGAAATTATTGGGATTGGTTATGGGAAAACCGAAATTGAACAGGATGAGATGAGATGATTGTGAAGCGAAATCGATCGGGAATCCATGTTGGTTGCTGGGAAAATCGTCGAATTGACGATGTGTTCTTCACGGTGAAGTGTTCAGTCATGAGATTTGTTGGGGTTTATAATTCAGAAGTCTTGAGCCCATAATCTGATATGGTGGACTTCTAATAAATCTGTTGATTGGGCTTATTCTTATAATAACTGGGCCATGATATGATGATATGAGAAGGGCTATGATGTGTATTGGATTGATATCATGAGGTGGAAGGGTTTTTGGTTGTCTTTTCTTAACATTTTTTAGGGTAAAAATGGGTATGTCCATTTCCTCCATGTAATTTTCTTTTACATTAATAAATTTTTTCGGGAGTTTCGTTTCCTTTTTTTTTTTTAAATGTTATGTCAGTTTATTGTAACACATTTACATGAGACGCATAACCGTTTGATGATTTAAACTTGAGTTCTATAAAGCAATTTGTTAACACATTTAGACATTTTTTATATCCTATAAAGCAAATTTTGTGGTAATATTAAAACCAAAAGCATATGGTGTTGGGTTCACGGGTTGGTTGCATCTTTTTAGGTATGCTCAAATGAAATATTTTCGAGTTATATTTGTTCCATCCTTATAGAAAGACAACAAAATTGATTTAAATAGAAAGACAATAAGATTATGCGTCGTTTTTTTGCAGAAAACATTTACGAATGAGTGCATAACGAAAACTAAACAACAATTTGCATATATTGATGAACATTATTTACAAATGATTTTTTTTTTTCTGTTCAGTCAAGAATTTCAAGTTTTGTAATGAGTTCTGAGTATATATATTTAGAAACCCAATACGTGTGCAATTATTTTTCCATTCGATCTTGCTAATACACCATATTAACCTTCAACTTTATACATTAGTTGACTTGCAAAATAACCACACAAACTTATGATTCAAAGCTAAACTAATGTTTCAGAATTGTGATTCACACGCGCTGCATCGCACGGGTACATCACTAGTATGTATATGTATGTATGTGTGTGTATATATATATATATGTATATATATA